ACAAACATAGGCCCACCATTCTCGAAAAGCTTACACAAAGGGCCTATTGATAAAAAGGCCTAAACTACCTAAATGCATAAAGTGCACGTGGATTTGTAATAATTGATCTCTTATTCACCAATTATATTTTTATAATTGAAGTCAATTAAATAAAATTAAGCTTTAGACGATTTAATTAAAAAAAAGGACTTTACAGGAAGTCAGTTTTTTCAATCAGTAAATTTTATCCTGGTATTTTATTTTATTTTATTTTTTTTTTAAATTAGTAGAATATAATTAAGCTTAATTGTTTTAGAATCTTCCTATGCTTAATGGTCAGACTACTATATTTTTTTCAATATATAAAAACTATCAACTTTAAATATTATATTTTATAAATAACATAAATAAAATAATATATTTATCTAAAAGTTTTATAACTTGGCCATTAATCATTATACCATAGGGAGATGCTATGATCCCGTTACGGAACATTCTGTTGGAGCTTGTAACCGTTAGCTCATCATGTAATCGTTGGAGATAGTTGATTTAACGGTTACAAACTCTGACGGAATAGTTCCGTAACGGGACCATAGCATTTCCCTATACCATATTTGTGAAAAATAACTAGTTCACTATTTACTCAACAAAAGGTTCACTTCTGGTGGTGTATGTGATCAATGGTCCACTGTCTGAAATGTAACATTTCTAAGGTTTGTGAAATAACTACAATAATAATAAAAAAAAAAGCTATGTCCTAAGATCCATTCATAGGATCATGCAATTATGTGTTTCAAAAAATCACGGTACTTACCCAAGAGCGCTTGGATGAGATGGCTTGAGTCTCTTCCAGCTTAACCAGTGGTCTCGAGTTCGAGGCCTGGGAATGCAGCAGTGTTAAAACTCTTGAGAGAGAGCTTTGCCGCCCTTGTGGTCCTACCCGGCTCGATTCCGGATTAGTCGGTTCCCCTGTGGATCCGAAAACCGGAAGGTCCCTGTACAAAAAAAAAAAAAAAAACACGGTACTCATCATGACGATGAAGACTAATACGTGTATGGTCCCCGTTATATTTGGCACGCTAGAAATTGTAATATACTCTTATGGCCACAATTTTATTATCTATATACCATATAATAATTTAAATATTATGCTTAATAAAAATATAATTACTTCCCACCTTCTCAATTTTGTATGTATTTAATTTAAGTTTTGGCACATAAATTAAGATAAAAATCAAGAAATGATACTTTTTTGTTTTCTAGATAATTTTGCTTTAAAGACAACCTCATTTAATTTTTTGTAGACGAAAAATATAATATAATTGTCTTAGTTAGAATCTAGAAATACATATTATATGACCAATGAAAGATTTGTGTTCCTATATAAGTACGGTTTACTTGTTGTATATAGAAAGTTGGTTCTACTATGGAGCCAACGGTTGGCTTCATAGAAAAATCGAGTATGAGTGGGATTCTAGTGGACATTTTCTCTCCCAAATATTATAGATAGGGGTAACTAGCTCGTCGTGTGTATGACGATACTTTCTTATTAGAAAAATACATATTCAAACTATAAAATGTCATACTTTTATTTGTATTATTATTTTTTTTTTGGTACAAAGAAGGAGGCCATAAGCCTAGATGCTAAACTAGAACTCGACGGGGATACGAGACCCCGATAATGTCATGCTCAAGCCACTCGCCCAAACTCAGTGGAGGATCAGAGAGTTCACGAAAGCCAATCGGATAAGACGACGCTAAGACCGCCAAATGGTCGGCCGCAAAATTGGCCTCTCTATGCACATGTCGGATCCGGATAAGCCATTCCCGATGGATTAGATGTCGAGTGGCGTGGACTAAAGAGTCATGGACCCCAAAAGTACCGTCCGGACCACTTATCATTTTTAGCACGCATTGACTATCAACTTCCACGACAACTCGACGAAGCCCCATATCCCACGCTAATTGCAAACCTTGAAAAAGACCTCATAGCTCAGTGCCGGTGATAGTACAGTATCCAATGTTCATAAGAAAACCCTTAACCCATCCACCTATCGCATCTCGAATAACCCCACCCGCACTACTAAGGGCAGTCATCTTGTCAAACGCGCCATCGGTGTTTACTTTGCACCATCCATGATCCGGCGGCGACCAATAAATTAATCAGGACTCAAAGCGATCTAATTCAGCTCCAACCTTAGCAAAGCCCCGAGCTGAGAGAGTATAATGCTGTAGGCGGTCCAGTACTTCCCTTATTATTTTAAATTATGGAGTTTGAGTATAAAATTAAGTACGCCGATTTTTATGGGATCAATAGTATTAATGTATAATCTAATAGAAAGACATACTGAAAACGGAAACACATAGGAGATAAAATATCATGAAATGCATACAATTGATAGTCGATTTATAAATGTCACATGAGTTCATGGTTTATAAATATTCGAATATTCATTTGTGAGTTGTCCACATCCTTTATATAGAGAAAATATGTCTAATTTATTAGAATATTCATTTGTGAGTTGTCCCACATCGTTTATACAAGAAAAATAAACTCACCTTAGTCTGGTGGACCCCTTTTCCTTCCACTAATTGGTTTTGAAATATAATTTCACTTGAGCTTCATCTGACTTTTTCTGTCTTGGTGCGCTTCATATGCGTGGGACTGACCCGTTTCTTACAGGATCGTGACCAATTACTTATCCCACACCACACACATATATATTCACACACACGAGCTACCACAATCACATTTACTTGTCAAATCATAATTGTTCCAAACATGGAAGAAATCCATCAAGAAATGGAGCTACTCTCTTTCACCTCAGCCACCGGCGCTCCACCACCACCATCACCACCACCACCATCAGACCTTCCTTGGTTCGAAAGCTTCCACCGCCCGTCACTCGACCTCCAACTCTCCATCAGTCTCACACCTATCGGCCCGCCTCAGGATAATAATGATTATAACAACAAAAACAACATCGACAACGATAATCGTGAGATCGAAACCCTGAAATGGGAGGCGGCGCAGCAAATCCGGCTGGCGGCAGTGGAGAGAGCATACGCCGAGCGCGTGATGGAGATGGCGAGGAGGGAGATGGAGACGGCTCGTTCCGAGTTCGTGAGGGCCCGAAGCCTTTGGGAGAGGGCTCGGGATGAGGTCGACAAGGCCCAGAGGATGAAGGAGAGGGCTTTTCGGGCTTCCAAGGAGTCAATGTGCATGGAGATTACTTGTTGTTGCTGTAGCCAAAAATTTAGGCCTTAAAAATTTTAACTTAAAAAGTTTGTATTTGTTTGTGATTGTGGGTTTGTTGTGTGGTGGGGTTTTCTTTGAATTATATGGAAGATGGAGGGGAGAAGGGGAAAAAATGAATAATGTTTTATTTTGTGGAGTTGCAAATATTCTAAGGGTTTGTTTTTCTTGCCTTGGGGCTTCAAATTTGTAGTAACATCTCTATTCTTTTTAATATAAATACTGGTTTGTTTGATGTTTTTTGAATTATTAGGGTATATATAATAAGATTAATAAGCATGTATCATATTTGATTCTCACAACTGTTGATAGAAGTTTCATTTTTATGTATAAAATCAATCTATATATAAAACCT